CCGGTATCTGAGAAGCTGCTTTTTCCAGTGCTGATCTACAAAAGGGAGATGGGCGGGAGGGGGAAGGCGGTACCCTGTGATTCCCAAAGGAGCAGTGCCTAGCCTGAGTGCCAGTGTCAGGGCATTAAGAGCAGGGGGGATGCCTGATTGTAGAGCACCGTTCTGGAGGGCAGGAGCCTTTGCGTTGTAGCGAGTGACAGAAAGCTGAATTCTTTTTCCAGCTCCTTCCTAGACTGTATCTGTGCCCTTTATTGCAAAGGCAGCCAGACACAGAGACCGCAGATACCTGCATTATTGCAGCCTCTTCCACTGGAAAAATACCCCGAGAAACGTTCCCTTGCTGCCATCGTGTGGTCGCTTGGATTGTTTCCTGCAAGTACGCTTCTGCTAGTGGAAATCGTGACTCCCCCAGTCTTTCTCAAGGCAGAGTCTTTGAGAGAAGTGGTCTTAAAATGGGAACAGGATTATTTACCTCCTCTTGTTACGATCTGTTCAGAAGCAACTTATGATTCTTAATTCAAAACTGGTTTATAGTTTCTAAAGTCCCTAGTCTTTGGATTGAAATAAACTCTTTGCTGTGTGCACGTGATGTTCAGATCCTGATACTATTTCTGTTTCTCTGTTCATCAGAAGTATTATTGTATTGCCATTTATTGTTCTGTGTGACTCTGCTTCCACTTTAAATTGACCTAAATGTGGAATAGTGCTGCAAGGAATTTTCCCTTTTTTACCCCGTTACTAGCCACCTACTCTTCTCTTTTCCTCCTCATGTCACCTATCCACGGAGATGGATCTAGGAAGTGACCTGGCTGAAAATAAGTAATTTTCTGCTGGATTTGTGCAGCAATGCTGGCACAAGGGAAATGCGTGGAAATGCAGGGCCTGTGGCTGGTGCAGAAGGCAGTCTTACCCTACCCCTCTGCAGGCAATCAGCCACATCTTGGTTCTCTTACAGCAGTAGCAAAACTGCTACTTGAGTGGATGTGAGAAACGAGGCCCAAAGTTAGGCTAAAATGAGTAGCTGAGTGGTCAGTTCAGAATTTGCTTTGCATTGGTTTCTACCATGTAATTAAACGGCTTCTCAGGATATTCCAGTCAGTAGATTTGGTATCTTAATAGAGGCGGATTTCTCTTAGAATAAATATTTAAGAGATGATCTTTTTAAGGTATTCACATGGGTGTTTGTGCAGTTGCATATAATGCATTTCAGGGTTTTTTTGGAGAAATTTTTAAGCTTCTGTGCGGAAACTCCAGCTAAAGCAATGTGGTCTCAACCTTAAATGGAAAAAACCCCTGGCTCTCCCAAAACAAAAATAAAGTTATGTGTCTGCAGGATTGTGAAAATTTATGTGAAGTATGGAAGCACTGGAAAAAATATTGGGAAAGGTGATGAGGAAGCACCAGATGGAGCTGGAGGAAGCCTGGGGCAGCACTTGTTGGAGGAAAACATCTGAAGTGATTCATTCTCAAATCCAAATGCTGAGCGAGAGCTGCACACAATGCACACTTGCTATTTCAGTCTGGCTATTTGCAGAAACAGGACCCTGTATCCTGTCTAGCAGGACCCAGCAGATAAACAGGGTTGCATCAAGGGGCCATTAGTGCCAGTTTTTGGGTTGTTACTTCACTGTTGGGCATTCCTTTGCATGTCATCAGCAATGAGAAAATGCAAGGTGCAAACCAGTACTGGATGTAATGGTACAGTACAGGATGTGCACCCCAGAGGGCTGGCTGGCTGTTAGATGTGTTTCACCACCCCTCCTGCCCCTTGTAGCGCAGCTGCCCTGAGGTCAGTGCTCTTCACATCTGCAGCCTGTCAGCAAAATCCATGACTTGGGCTAGTTACAAGCCTGTTCCTATGCTGTGAGCGTGAGTGTCCAGCATCCTCCCCTCAAACACCCTGCTGTTTTCTCAGTCTGTGGTGTCAGATTTAAAGATGCGACAGTTGAGGTTTCTTGTTTAGTTTAGTCCATTCATTTACACATATTTGATTGTAATGTGAAAGTCTTGCTTACATTTTATGTCTGGGTTTTTTTGTTTTGCCAGTGAGCTGGAGGCATTTGTTGAAGACCTGAAGAGGGACTCCACTGCTTCGAGCAAGACAGTTACACTGAAAGATGTTGAAGACGGAGCCTTTCTTTTGCGTCAAGTGGGAGAAGCTGTTGCCACCCTGAAAGGTATGTGCTTTCCCTTTTTACTTCTGGTTCTTTTTTTAACCACAGTTTTGCCTTTGATCTGGGGGCATTAACTTTCACTTCCAAAAAGATTTAAAGTTTGAATTAAGGAGCTTGTTGCATGGCCCCTGGAAAAAGGTAGACACTCAACTATTTAACATTTACCCCATCATCTGTTTCTCCCCAGGGCTTTTATCATTTCCTCTTGAGCTTCACAGTTGTTGTCTTTACAGGAGAGTTCCCAACATTGCAGAATAAAATGCGTGCGATCCTCCGGATTGAGGTAGAAGCTGTGAGGTTCCTAAAGGAAGAACCACACAAGCTAGACAGCTTGCTGAAACGTGTGCGCAGCATGACCGATATCCTTACCATGCTCAGGAGGTGATTTTTTTTTTTTTTCTTCAAAACTAAAGAATTTCCTTAAGCAGGGCTGGAACAGCTTTCAGGTTTGGATTCTCTCCCTCTCCTCAGGCAATTTTGAGAAATGCAACATGCTTGCAGTATTTTATAGATTCTTCCTGGAGCCCTGAAAATCAAATTAGCCTTTCCTGTGCTCTGTGCAGAGGTTTTGTTCTGACCAACAGCCCCAGTCATCAAGATCTTAAGATTGAAACTAGCTCCCTCTGAACTCAACACTTCTAGATTTGGGAAGTACCAGGATGAGAATGTTTACAGAGTGACATCAGTCCCATATCTGAGCTAATTAACTTTGGGCATTTACAGCAATCTAAGCTAACAGAAATATTCTCTGACACTGAAACGTGCATTCCCAAAAATGTAACAGTAAGAAATAAAACAGGAAAAGATACTAAGTGGATAAAGATAGCCCAAACCTTCTGAAAGAAAGAAATATTTTTCTATATACTTGTGAATTCATGCAAATTCTTTATTCTGTTCTTTGAAAGGAAGATGCATTAGAGAAAGTTGAAATATTAGATAAAATTTGTGTCCACTAAGTGCCAGTGTTTAGCTATGTTTGTCAGAATATATCAGCAGCAAATGACTGCTGATTTATATGAGGCAACAGGCCCTGGATTTAATTCCTACTCAAAACCAGTGAATTGGGCCAAACTGTCAGTGGTGGTGGTCTCAACTTTACTTCAATTACAAGAAAGTGTAACTGATAAGCCTATTGTTGCTACCAGTATTCTAAGGAATGTAGGGTTGTCATTGTTTCCATATATCCTGGAGCACATGTGAAATGGATTTGCCAGTACTGGCAGATGGATAAAATGGTTTACATAACACGTCTTCTAAGAGCTGTCACTTATTTTTCCATGTAGATAAACGTCTATATCCTTTCATATTAGTTTCCTTTTCTTAAAAATGACTACAGTTATTTCCTGTCTCGCCCCATTTGGAAGAAAAAACAATAAGCTATGCATGCCAAAGTTTTACCAAAAGCAATTTTTTGCAGCGAAATTACGTATTAAGCCTCATAAAGTCTGTTTCAGTAATGGAAAAAGTGATGGCATTTGACGGCTAGCTACACTCCGAAGCTCAGCCATTTCACAGCTAGCTGCCAGAAATAGTTGACTCTCTACATCCTCCGTTCATTCTACCCCAAACTCTTGACAGACAAGACCTTCATGAAGTATCACCTGAAGGCTTTGGTTTGGCAGTTTGCCAAACTGCTACCTCACACTCTATGTAACTGCCACTTTTTGTGCTAATAGTCCACGAATATTTTGTTTAGTCAGATACAGTGTATAAAATTTAAATCAACTGATTCCCATTCTCCCTCTAAAATCAACCCACTGTAACTCATGGTTTGGTCAAAAAGTGCCAGTACCTCCATGAACATTTGTAAGCATTTTAAAAAGGCAAAATCCTCCTAATTAGAGTGGCCTCTTTAAAACTTGAGTCTCTGAGTCTGAGATAAACCTATAAAATCACACAACTGAGAGCATCAGGAAGAAAAACCACCATGTTGATGATTTTTGATATAGGTGCTTTCCCCTTGCAAAAGTTTATTGTTAAATATTGCTCATGACTTGCCTGTATGCTAACCACGTGCGATGCTGTTGTGTTCAATTTGGCTGGACAGACATGTTACAGAAGGACTGCTGAGGGGTGTGGATCCATCCCAACCTGTGCAATACTCTCCTATGGAAAAGGCCACTGCAGCTGATGCTCTGAAAAACCAGGAGGAGCTCAAGCACGCCCAGGGACATGCACAGCAAAACCTCACAGCAATCACATCAGAGTCCCAGGTGTCATCAGTCAAGTCAGAAGTCGTCCCCTTCTCAACAATGACGGTCCATCATGTGCAGAGCTCACCTGTTGTCATCCATCAGTCTCAGCACTCATCAGCCCTGGTCAACCATGCTCAGGGTTCACCCACTGCAGCCACCCACAGCGAAGGTGTGCCGGCAGGTGGCCACCTCTCAGCCACCCCACCAGTGCCCCCGCAAGAGCCCGCAACAGGATCCCAGCCCGCACAAACCACGCCGGCACCACAGGTCTCTGTCAATGGCACCACCATGCAAAGTCTTTTCATTGAGGAAATTCACAGTGCAAGTACCAGAAACCGAGCTGTATCAATTGAGGTACGGTGTATTCTACTCAACCAGTTGTCCTCTCATTGGGTCTGAGCTCCCAGGCTCGCTCTTGAGACTGAAGGTGAAATTTCCAAATGTATTCTGGGGATTTGTATGCTTAACCTCTAACTACACCGTGCACTTCTGAAGACACCCTCTGATTTTAAATGCAACAGGATAATACCATGTAACCAAAATGAGTAACTGTGGTTTTTAAATAACCTTTATTAAAAAAAAAAATCTTTTTAAGAATACCTTATTTTTGAACAATAGCATATGAATCTCTGGCAACACTTGCATCAGTGGATTTCATTCACTCTTTAAATCTCCATGTCCCTCATTATGTAGAGGTAATAGTGAAAGAGTATGAAGCTCCAGCGGTTTCACACAGAGATATTGAGAAAATCCAAAAGTGAACTCTCGTGTCTTATTACAGACATGCCCTTTAATCACCAGTGCATAAGGCAGTGACCCAGATTTAAATTTTGCCTTTGTTCCTTTAGTGAGCAGTGGGCACTGTCAGCCTGTCGTGTGTCTGCCATATCTGGCACAATGGAAGTCAGAACCAGTGTACAATTAGTGTTAATATATTTCCTCTAGTTGCTGACTAGAACTGAAAGAGTCTATCCTTATTGACCTATAATGTTTACACATGGATTTTTTTTTAAGTGATCACAACAGAAATCAGAGAAATAAATGGATGCTTTACTTTTTTTTTTTTTTTTTTTTTTTTTAAATTAGTCTAGAAAGCTGAAAAGAAATGGGAAGAGAAAAGACAAAACCTTGATCACTATAATGGAAAGGAATTTGAAAAGCTCTTGGAAGAGGCCCAGGCCAATATCATGAAGTCAATTCCTAACCTGGAGATGCCTCCCCAGCCAGCAGCCCTGTCTAAAGGGGATGCAGTGGAAAAGCTAGAAGTCTCAGGTAAGGTTTGCTTGAGTAAATGGTGCTAAAGAATTGCATATCTGGAAAAGAGAGGTTATTTCTCCTACTTTCTAGAATGGTTTCAGTTTACAGATATCTGTATTCTTGATCATACCTGTGAGTATGTCCCTGAGAGGTAACGCAGGTCCTGTGGACAGGATGCAGTGATTTTGCACGTGCCAGTGTTGGTAACCAGCTGAACATGAATTTCCTCATATTGCAACTGAGAGAGTTTGTCCTCTGGAGATAAAGACTCCTCATGAGCAAGAGAGTAAAAGTACACCTTGCTTTTGACAGAGATGGATGAGAGTATCTGTATACTATACTATATCTAGTATACTGCGTTCAGTTTTGCACTTAAAAGTTTAGCGTTACAGAGGGCTCTGGAAAGAACCACAGAGTTTGAGCACAAATGATCTTACCATCAGAAACCTAAAAAGCTCTTTCTGCAGACTCATTTTTTATCAAAGGAAGATCAAGACATGTCTGAGGTTTCTGAGGGTAAGGAGGCCTTATAACTTTGCAGAACATGTTCTGACAAGTTCCAGAAATTGGAAGCTGAAGCTAGAAAAAGCCACATTAAAAATTACGTGTCAAATTTTAACATTCAGAGTAACTAATCACTGAAGTTTAATTATGAACATATGGGATTCTCTGCCACTTCAAATCTTTAAGTAATACTAAGTTTCTTTCTGAAAGGCTGCTCAGGCACAAGCTCTGTGCATGATGCAAGACCTGCTTAAAGAAATCCTTGATCCTATGTTAAGTGCAAAGTCAGACTATTTGATCTTAATGATCCTTGCTAACTGTAAATACGACCAGTGTTTTGGATGAGTCCCTCAGAGGTCTGAAAATGACCTGTGATGCTACATAACTGTCTTGTCTTGGGGAAGTGAATAGGTATGTAGGAATGAATGAGAGTGACTTTCACAGTAAGCATTCTGGCTGTCCACAGCTATGGTACAGATATACCGACTTTCAAGTTGAACGTGAGTCAGACTGTGACCCTGTAGCAAAAAAAAGGCAAACATAACGCGATGAACAGGAATGTCTACAAGACACATGAATCTGCTCAGCAGTGGTGAGCAGAGAAATTCCCAAACTCAATGTTTTGGACTTCAAGGAAGACTGAACAAATAGGAGGGAGTCAAGGGGACAGCGATCATAATGACCAGAGCTCTAAAAAAACATGATCTCTGCAGAACAAAATGAAAGAATTCGTTTTGTTTAGCATGAGGAAGCAAAGGCTGATGAGGGACAAAGCAATCTCTAAATACATAAAAATCTGCTTAAAAAAAGAAAATACTGACTTGCTTTGTGTAGCTAGAACAGCAGTAGAATTTGGCAATTGCAACCAGGAAGTTCCAGGTTAGGTATTAGGGAAAAACATCACAGTGATAAGTAAAGTGAAGCACTGAAGAAGACTGTATGAGGCAATGGGGAGGATGTGAGATCCCCATCACTGGAGAGAATGGCTTAGACTAGCCCTGATCAAGAATTATATAGGTAGAACTACTTTGTGGTAGCAGGATGATGGGGTGTCCTTCCAGTCCTGTTTCTTTCACAATTTAACATACAAATCCATGTCACAAGTGGTGTTCCCCAGCACTCAATACTGGGGCTAGAATAGAATCATAGAATCATAGGATGGTGTGGGTTGGAAGTGACCTTAAAGATCATCCAGTTCCAACCCCC